TTACTTGTCTACCAGAAGCCACAGGGGCATCTCTAAAAGCTGCTTTTCAGCCAGGTGGCTGCCATCCCAAACTGTTGCTTGGGCTGGTTCTATCCCATTGCTCAATTACAAGTGTGTTCTAGCATTTTTTTTTCCAGGCTGCTGAAGTCAGTTTCAATGACAGCCCTACCCTGTAGTTTATCATATATTACCCAGGTCTGCAGTTGTCTATGACCTTGATGATGATGCAAGTCCATCCCATCATCCAGGTCACAAATGAAGATGTCAAACGGTATATTTTTTAAATGATATGTGTCTCATGCCCCAGAAGTTCATTTTCTCTTACAGTAGGTAGATACAGTAAAGGGTTCTGTGGGGCCTGTGGCTGCTCCCATCATGCCATTTAGAATGAATAATGAGTACCTGTTTTTCAAAGAAACATTACTTCTTTTGATTTCATTTAACATTCATTTCTTGTGCATATTCTGGTATTAATCTAGTGATCCATATTACAATGTTATGAAACCCAGAACAGTAACACCTCTTTCTTCTCATAAAAAAGAGTGAAACCATGAGGAGAATAAATGCAAGACTCTAGACAGTGCTTCATAACTGAAAATATATTTTTCTGTAATATTACCCACCTGCATTCTTCATAATATTTAGAAAAGTGGATCCAAAAGCATGAAGAAATCTCTGTAGACCAAGGGAATTCTAATGTCATCTAATGAAGAAAAGAAAGCAAACAATGTCAGTAGATTTTCCAACATTTATTGGTGAATAGGATATTGATGCAGTTTTCAAAAAACAACCTGAACATTCTTTTTAAGAACTCATCCTTGACTTTTCGTCTGGTTTGAGAAACCTAGGAAGCATGTGTATGAGATAGCACTATTCCTAACAGTGTTTTAATCAGTTCGAGTAAAAAAAGTCTATTCTTTAAAAAATGGTTATAGACTAGTGCCCATAAATGGAGACTTGAAATAATTGCATCATTATGTTATCTTATTCCAGTTGGTTTTCGTTTTGGTTTGGAACAAAAACTGCAGTGTGATGCAGTTGCCTCTCTCTGATTATTTTTACCTTGGTGTATTTTGCTGGCTTGCTTGTATAGTTTATGCGCTGTCATTTGAAAAAAAGTTAAAAACTCTTGAGATCCAGACCTGGCAACGCTTCAGGATGTATCATTGTTCTTTATTTGAACATGTTAATTGTAGCGGCACTTTGGGGGTTTATGATTACTATTGAGCATAGAATGAACTCCTCATCTTTTAATATGATGAATGTGATTTTGCTCCTCAGTCAAGCTAAAATCTGCTTACTGTTGTGATTACCATCTCTGGGCTCCACCCTGCCTTTCACCACCTGCCACTTAGAAGTAATTCCTTTGGCAAGGAGAATTCAGCCAGAACTGTCAAGGAATTTTGCCCCTTTTTGAGATCCTTCTGATTATTATTCTTATTTTGTGGTGATGTCAGATTTCCAAGGGTAATCTCTCACTAGAGGCATATGTTTGTCTTTGGGACTTGCATCACCCTCTCATTTGTAGTCTCCATTTCAGAAGTAATGATTGCTTACTGAAAATATGCATTATGTGGATTTTCTATTATTTAATTCCATTACTTTCTGTGAGTACATCACTACATTTCTAGGAAAAAGAAGATTCTTTAATCCAGAAAACAAGCCAAGGATTGAAAACAGGCAAACGTTTTTTTTTTTCCCAAGTACATACAAATACTTTTGTTGTTATCTCAAAAAAAAAAGTGCTTGCAGTTCCTTATTATGTATGGACTAAATTCAATTCATGGTAGTATTTCTGTTCTCTGCTTAAGCAGCAAGACCATTATAAATTAAAGTGCATTTTAAAAATATGTAGAAAAAGTGTTTCTTACTAGATGGGAACCAACATTTCCTCTTTTTCTGTATGGATGTTTGACATCACTGCATATACAGAAAGTGAAATTCAAAACTTCCTTCCTTAACGCTTTGATGTTTGTGATGCTGTTAACTGCTGCTGGGTTCAGTTATAATGCTTTGAGTAACTTAGCTTGGTCATGATAGGTCAGTGATCTGTGGTCACCAGCGTGTAATGCAGATGTCCTCTAAAGGCATGGAGGAAGAGAAAGTGGATGTGAAGGAGAGGGCCTCATGTTCACATAATCATCATAGAATCATAGAATGGCGTAGATTGAAAAGGACCTCAAAGATCATCTAGTTTCAACCCCCCTGCTATGTGCAGGGTCGCCAAAAACCAGATCAGGCTGCCCAGAGCCACATCCAGCCTGGCCTTGAATGCCTCCGGGGATGGGGCATCCACAGGCATCCACAACTTCCTTGGGCAACCTGTTCCAGTATGTCACCACCCTCTGTGTGAAAAGCTTCCTCTTAATATCTAACATAAACCTCCCTTGTTTCAGTTTAAAACCATTCCTCCTTTGTCCTATCACTGTCTCCCCTCATAAACAACCGAGGCTTCCGGAGAAACATGGGCCAATGCCATCTCCCAGTTGTCTCTTCAATGGCAGTTTCCTATTTCCTCTTCTGTTGCTTCCTTGTGTCTTTGCCTCGTAACTCCATCTTGGTCTGTCTTCATTTCTCATTTTGCCATCTATCTGTTTATATTATGTAATAAGCTCCAGTGCACAAGGATCTTATCATTTTTAATAACTGAAGAAAGTTAGAAATACTGTACAATGGTTTTAATTCCACTCCTCGTGTTCTTTCTTCCTTTCAAGAAGCCAGTGTTCTAGCCAGAGAAATGGGATTACTCTTGAACATTATATTCACTGGGGCAGAGAAGGGAGACATCCCATTCAGCTTATTTACAGTCTCTTGTCTTAAAAAATCTAGAAAACGTGCCAGTTCAAATAAATGTTGAAGTAATAAATGGAATTGACAGTCCCTTATTTTCAGTGCTTGATGCCTTTCTAAGTGCATATATGCTGGTATGTATTGACAGTAGTTGATGTGGCTGTAAAACTAGGCAAAAAATGTATATTTTTAGTACTATGTTCTGGGTAGATTTCACATTGAGTATCTAATTTCTGTGGTATTGCTCTTGAAATGCATGTAATATCATAAGTAAATATTGAAAGATTTGTATATTCCATGATAATTGAAAATAATGCTCATAAGAATAATATTAGTAAACCTTATAATCAAAGCAAACTTAAAAGAACATTGTAACTGAAATGTTTATGTAGTTGTAACCTAATAATAGAATACACATCTTATTTCTAAAATATAAAATTTAAAGCACAACACAGCTGATTTTTTGTTTGTTTCTTTTTTTTTTTTTGAGTTGTAGGTTCATTTTCTTTATTTTCCTCAAATCTTGTGATCTCTTATTGCTCTGCAAATCTGATCTGACTTAAATAGTCTCTTTAAATCATCTGAATCTCCTTCTTTTTGCTTCAGAAGCCTGTATGTTCTTCTGTAATGTGAACAACTGGAAGTAATACAGTTGTCCTGAAGAACTTTTGGGTTTCAGGCGGATTCCTAGCCAGCTGCAAATATGGTGGTAAAAAAAAAGACCTGTAGCCACTGTATCATGTGCTATGTTCTCAAGTGATGTAGGCATGCTCATTGTCATTTTGGATCCTCTCTTTTGGTATACAATGAGAAAGAGATGAGAGAGGCTTTGTAAAAATCTTGGAGAAAAATACTTCATGAAAACATTTACTGTTTGTTTATATGGTTGCAGTGATAGTGCTTAGTTAAGCAGAACATATTTGTGAAGAGAAAACTTGTGCAGGATGGATATGTATGTGCAAATTGATGGTGTCTTTCAGAAATGATATGCTGAAGTGGACTTCTTGTGATTGATTTTTTTTTTTTGTGGTTGTTTGTTAAAATACTATCATGCCTTAGTACTGCCGTATCTTACGGTGTTTGCTATGAGTGTGTTGGTTTTGCCAGCCTGGCCTGAGCATATTTGCAGGTATAACCATCTACAAATAAAAAGTGCCATCTGCATTCGTAGGATGACAAGAAGGGGCAGCAGCCCCTCACAGAAGTGTAGCTGACACCTTCAGACTTCCTTGTACAATCCCATTTTTAAGCATCAGGTGAAACAAATGCAACTGGACCAAACATAGTTTAAACATCCAGTTGTACGTCACAAGTGGAAGAAACAAGTTCCAGGTTTGCTTGGGTAAACAACCATATCGGAGAAGGTTTTTAGAGTAGGGAAGAGAGTAGGAAAGAAAGTAGTGGGCTTTTTTTAGAAGTCTGAAGAGACATACTAGCAGTCACCTGGTTAGATCTTGAAAATACCATAAAACATATGTAAGTAGAGAAAAACTGAAGTAGAGGTACTTTAGAATGGGGCAACAACTAAGATTAATCCTAGATGTGGCCCTGAAATGAGATTAATATTTCCCCTTATCTTTCAATGAGGATAATGTCATCAGACACAAAAAGTGGGGAAATGTGAGCTATTCCATCCAAGACAAACCCATAACTAAATGTAGACAATCCACTTAAGTGAAGGGACCAGAGACTCTCAGTTATGAGTGTATTGAAACGCAGAAGCGTAGACTTCTCATAAATCTGCTGAACAGCAATCATATGATTAGAGTGTAACAAATGTAAAAAGAAACTTTTTTTTCCACTGCAAATAGTATAAATATGGTGAAGATAGTAGTTTTCCCTAAAGATTTTGGAGAATATGAATTTGTCTGGAAGTTTTATCAAGCTGTAATTTTGTTGTGGAGTTAGAAATTGCTTTTTAAAGGAGAGGAACCAGAGTGACAGTGCTTGAAGAACAGATGGATGCCACTCCTGTGTTGTTGTCTAGGGCTGGCTTGATGATGTGCTATGTGGAAGAACTGTGTCTTTTCTACATCTATTTTGAGGTAACTGCTATATGTGCCAATAGTGCTCAGTCTGTTGCCAGCAGGGAAGACTGTACGTTTTTAAGAACTGCTAAAAATAATAGAATATAAAAAATAAGTATTAACTCTGTCTTTTTTTTTCTAATGGGACATTTTATAAAAAGTAATTTTCTTGTTCTCTTTCAGCCATGGAAGAGTTAATAGTAGAGCTGCGACTGTTTCTTGAACTTCTGGACCATGAATATCTGACTTCCACTGTCAGAGAGAAGAAGGCAGTAATAACTAACATTCTCCTGAGGATACAGTCATCTAAAGGTCAGTGTCAGGGGTGTGTTTTCTCGCTTGCAGAGTGCACAGAATAAGTCTCAGTTCAGTGAAATAGCTTTAAAGGCTGAAGACAAGCTCTAAATTGAAGAAAGACAGAGAGGCAGGGTAAAGCCAAAATGCAGCTTTCCTGAATGCTTTTCTCCTCAGTCAACAGTAAAATGTAGCAAAAGCTATACTGGAAGTAACTTGATTGCGTATGAGTGAATCCAACCACAAAACTGTGCTAGATACAGTGCTTTCACCTTTGTTGGTATAGTGGTTACTTCATTGTATTTGAGGCAAAAATTCTATCCATCCATTTTGATACACTGTGTTATAAAAGTCTTGCATGATGTGCTACATCTCTTTGTGAGACCTAAATCAAGCCAGGGCTTGATTTTGCTGTGTATTCTGGTGCATGACTGGCACAGGAATACCAAGCAAGAGATAGGAAATGTCTGGCAACGTGGTTGGTTTGCACGTTGCAGGTAAATTAGTATTCACCTTCCCTTTCTCATGCTATCTAAAACCATTTTGATTGCACAATTACTTTGGTCTCCATCAAGATTATGGGTTGACTGCATAAATCAACCTTTCCATGGGGCTTTTACAAAAAGTGCTCCTCACCGTCTTTCCTAATATTACTCTTATATGTCCTTACAACGCCCTTCTGTACAAAGAGGCAGCAGGGCTGTATGACTTCTGTCTCTCCAATAACTGACAGCAGTTTCGTCACTTGTAAACACCCAACATTCAGGCTTTTGAAAAATGATTGGGTGTTTTGAGAAAAAATGCCATGTGAGCAGCTGCATTTCTCATGTTTCTTCTCCAGTGCTAAAAAATACATTTTGGTGTTTGATGTAGTCTTATCCTCTTCAGTAGAGAAATTGAATTTGCTGCAGGATTCATGTCCAAGGAGATCAGCTGTGAAATGGTGATTGTCCTTCTTTCAGTTTTGACATTCTTAAAGACCTACCATTGCTTTTACTTTACTGATGAGTGAAAGAAGCAGGCATCAGGATCAGATGGTGTGCAAGGGAGCTTCATGCTCCATAGGCTGATCAAAATACCCTGCAGTCCCCAAAACAAACGGCTGCAGGTAAGAACTTGCAGTTTGTCATGTTTCATGGGAGTCCAGTCAACAGTGCTGACTTGACAGTTTATCTTTTAATATTTTCAACACAATTTATTTAAAATACTTGACTTTTTCAATAAAATTGTATGGATTTTTGCATCAGAAAAATATACCTTACCAGGCATATTTAATTTAAGATTACAGATGTGGGAGAGGATAAAAATACTCAAGGGTCATAGCTTTTTACCTTTCAGCACCTACCTCTTAGTTAGAGCCTATTTCAGGATCTGTAACAAGATCTGTTACATCCTACTACAGGATTTATCCATTAATGAGATCCATACAAGAGCTATATATTTAGTGGCGGGGTTTGGTTCAGTGCACTTGTTAGTGGAACATTATACCCACTTTTAGCAATTGCATTTAAAGAAATACAGTTTAGGCATTTTAGAGGAAGGATATAAAGTGATTAAAGGATCCAGAAATATGCCTTCAAATTATCCTAAATGATGAATCATAATTAATCTTGATGTAGAAAATAGATGACTGAGAATGAGCTCTTAGACATAACAAAAAAAGCAGTGTGCAGTGGCTGGATGTTTGTTTCAAAGTGGAAATAAAGCACATTTTTCGAGCACTGAAGATATGAATTAATGGGAGAACTTAGTAAGGTCTGCATGCTGTTGCTGGCATTTTTTCAAGATGTAATATTTTGCTAAAAGGTATGCTGTAGTTCAAGCAAGAATTAATTAGAGGAAGTCCTATAGCTCAGTTAAGCAAGAAGTCATAGGATTATACTTCATATGTCTATAAACTCTAGTTTAAGGATTTGTAGTTTCAATAGAGTGTAAGCCAGCACAGCCTCTAAAAAAAGCATCCTGTTAGTCTCCCCAGGCTACTCATTCTTGCTCATCGTGTGTTGCTGCTTCCTTTCTGCTAGCACAGGCATTGTTTGCTTTTTTTACTGGTTTGTTCCTGACCAGCTCTGGTTCAACCTAAGGCCACACACATGCCTATGCCAGCACAGAGGAGAGGCTGGTGCAGGACAGGATTCAGGCAGGAAAGGAGTGAGCTGCCTCCTTGAGAGCCATCTTGTGCTGGCTCAAATTGGCTGTGAGACAGTAGAAGGAGTCATGCAGATGGACAGAGATGACCCTGCTGCTTTTTTTATCAGCTGTAACATTCAGTACTCCCATCCCTTTGAAACTATTCGTCTCTTCATTAAAATTAAAAGCAATGAAAGACTCTTAAGCCCACAGAAGTCTGTAACTAAGCTGAGTTGTCATTCCGAGTCTGTTTTTCAAAACGTTGCTTTACTCCACCCACACAGCTCCATGAGAGCTCGCGGATCGCTGGCACGGTTTCACAGCCCGAGGTCGGTGCAGAGTTCAGGCTCGTTATAGGCATTCGAAAAAATCAACTGTGTGAATCCAACTGTGTATTTCAATTGCTGAAGTAAGCCATTTAAGAACAACAGGGAATGGTAATGAAGGGTCAGTGCAGCTGGGAACTGAATGGATTCTTTCTAACATCTGGAAGTCAACAATTACACTTTTCTTCATAAAGGTGTGGAAATTATAATGGTTATGTTTCAGTAAAACACTTTAAATTGTCGCTTTCGTTTCAGTAAGTTGGAAAAATCTTCAGAAATCTTTTACATTGTGTTCTTACATCTCCTAAATGCACACCACTCCCTTCACTTAATACCCATCAGGGAGCTGAACCAGTCAGATGTACTCTTCACATCGTGGCTGCCAGGCCTCCACCTTCTGCATGTCCAAACCAGTGGTCACCTTCAGGAGCCGGCAAAACTATAAACTTTGTTTTTCTTCTGAATCTTGGCATGCCCAAAGTACTGTAGGTCTGAACAAAACACTTGGCATTTCCTTGTGAAACTCAGACTTCCTTCTAAAAAACAAAGGCACAAACAGTTGATTTTGGAGTAAGAGATGTTAGTGGATTCAGTCATTTAATATGACCATCATTGTTGCTGGTTTCCCTTAAAGGGACTTGATGTCAGAAATTTATAATGCTGACTTTGATGCAACTTGTTAAAAGGATGAAAATATTATAGCAGGTTCTTGCTAAAGCACACATAGTTTGGGGTGAAAACTAGCTTTACAGAGTGAGTAAAATCCACTTGGAATATATATTTTTTCCTTCAGTAAAACGTCCTTCATATTTGAGTTTTGGTTGTTACGGAAAGCATGGGAACATGAATTCATCCTACATAAGGAGGAACAAGTAAAATTGAAAAAAAAAAAAAACAAAACCAAAAAACAAGTGAAAACAAAAAAAAATTGAATGTTTCCCAAGACTAATCTGCATCTTGATTTGTAGGAAGAAAGAAGAATCTGTGACCCTTAGAGATGGTTTATTTTATCAGTGTTATTTTTCAATCTATGACTTCAGAGCCAGTGGGTCTGGGTTATTGTGACAAGAAACATTTAATCATTAATTGCATTTTTGAGAATTACATGATCTTGACCAAAAGACATCCATTTGACTATGTAAATATACATTGTATAAACTTACCTAAACACTATGAACTTAATTCAGTCTAGGAGTAAGGAAGGTATGTCCTGTTGGCTGATTTTTTTTGCCAAAGCATTGAGATGCACCCTCCCCTTGATATTCAGAAAAATAAACAATGCCATGTTCCTGTGAAGTGAATCTGAATGGAATTTAAATTATTGTGCCAGAAACAGCAGAACTAGTGGTTTTCCCGAGGGAGGAAATAGACTGTTTTATCTGCTATATGATGCTGCTGAGACTCTTCAGAGTGTTAAGCATGGTATCTTCCTCATATCACTGGTTTTATCTGTGATACATGCCTGACAATGTTTGAATTTTAGATTTTTCAGTTCCAGATGGGTAGGCAGTTCAGCGTGATTTCCAGTACATTTTTTCTCTGTCTGGTATTTGTTGATCCAAATATCATATATGTCATTATCATATACAGTAAGTATGTGTTTGCTGTGCTTGATTAAATTCCTGAATTCCCAGCATTCTTCAAGTTTTTCCTTAGTAACCAGGGTTGGGAGGCAGGTTGTGAGAAGGACTGCAAGCCAGATTTCAGTGTATGATGATCTACATACAGAAAAATGTCCCGTTTGCATCCACCAAAGTGTTAAGCGATATGTGTTTCTCTTCTGCAGGTTTTGAAATAAAAGAACATGTGCAGAAACCAGAAGTTGCCAACAGCCTGCCAGCACCTCCTCAAATGCCTCTGCCAGAAATACCTCAGCAGTGGCTGGTGAGTGTTAATTGAGGTATATCAATGTGTATATGAGAGAATGTTTTTGTGATAAGCGCTAGCAGAAATGGTTACAAGGGGAAGGAACCTGCAGGTCCAGGGATATGGTTATTCCTCACAGCACCGATCTGGTTAAGAGAATTGTGTTCAACTTGCAGAAGAGAAGACAAAAAACCTCCCTTGGGGTGAATTAAATGTGGAATCCCAGTCTTTTCCATTTTCAAGATTAGAGTGGCACAAGCCTGAGCAACTTAATCTTAACTTTAGAAGTCACCCAGTCTTGCGGAGATCTTGATGAGGCCCATGGGTCACAGCCAGTTTTGTAGGATTTAAGAATCTGCTTTCCCTGTAGTGAGTCTTACAAGAAGATTCCCTCCTGGTTCTTGAAAAATTAAAGTATGAAGTGTTAAAGTACAGGAAGAATGCTTTATTTTTTTCATAGAATACTTAGTGCCTTTCTGTGCTCAGTCTTCGGGCAGGAAATTCCTGGCAGAATAAGTAGCATTGTGAGTTCTTGGTGATGTTTATAGCAAAGATACTGTCTGCAGATTCAGTTCCTGCAGTTGGGAGCAGCTGTCTTGTAAAGAAATAAACTATCAACAAGTTTTCATTCTCCTCTGTGAATGCTCAATTGCTACTTTAGAGTAGATTTGAAGAAACATTTGCAACCTTTTTTAGAGAGGCATATGCAGATAATGGTCTATCCTATTGAAAGGGGAATGTAGTCTTAGCCCTAACATTGATAAATTATCTATCTTTTTTGTGGGAAAAAAATTTGTGGAAAATATTGTGCACTGGTAAGGATAATCGAAGGCTCTGCTATGAAGACCTTCATTCATTAATGTGAAGTGCATGGTGAGGGCAAAACCCACCAAAACTAGAATTCTGTTATTACATCTCTGCCCAATAGAAGCTTACCTAGTTTACAATCCAATAGCATCTTATGAACATAAGAAACTGGCTTATCAGATCAAACTCTTGGTCAGGTCTTCTTAATAAATCTTTTCAATAGTGAGTAATGCTACACACTTTCATACTACAGAACACATTAAAAACAAAGGTTTTATGTAAAATGCCTTTATCATAGTGTCTCCCTATGTGCTGTCAGCGGTTGGTTTGTGACCAGGAACAAATTTTTATTTTTTTTTTTAAATTCTACCCAGTAAAAGGAAATATTATAGAAAGGGAATATTTATGCTAGAAACATCTGAATTGAGAGCTGATATACATACAGTAGCAAGAGTCACTTAAAGTGGATGCTAAAAATAATTATGCATGAAGTTGAGTGGATGCAAAAGCGATCTTATTAATATGCAGTGAAACCTAGGGAATCCATTTCATGGCTAACAGTGCCTGAAAATGATTATTTTTTTTCTTTAATTCTGGATGCATTTAGCATAAATCACAAGGGAAATGGTTGATGAGATGGAGAAAAATTATGCAAAATGCACACAACTTTGACACACAGACTTCATAAGCTCGAGCCAATTCACTTCCTTGTTCTTTTGTATTTAAATAGTTTCAGTTTAATAAATTGGTTCTGAGGATTCAAATTGTTTTTTTAAAGACAATAAACCTACTTCTCCTTTCTCATGTTAATGGGTAAATTCCCTTAAAGTTAGTACAGCTGCACTGGGTGAAATGCTGTGAAGCATGACTTAGGTCCAGTAGATCAGCAGTTTTTTGCAGGAGTTATATTCAGTTTAGGTTTCAGAGAAACAGAAATAGTGTTCTGAGATACGGTGGAATTAATGTGAAAGCTGGCACAGTTAAAACTGCCTGCTCTGGAGCATGTTCTTATTCTTCTGAGTCTGGCAACATGGTGTTTAGACATGACCCTCCTCCTTGACCAGCCAGTAATAAGGCAGGCACTTTCATCTCAATGAAGTCACAAAGCTGAGCCGTTTTTTCCATAGTAGTGGAAGCTGATTTTTATTCCTGCAGTTCCAGTGTTGCTGTCAGGCTGCCGTGGTTCATGCCTCTACCTCAGTTAGTTAGTGCCACTTTGAGATCAGCAGGAAAATGTTCCAGGCTTCTCACTGTCTTTCCTTATCCAAATACAGGTTATGAGCAACTTTATTTTAAGATACTTAACACGTAATTTGTGATAAAGATGACAGACTACTGTTGTCCCACAAAAGACCAGGTGGAGCCAGAGCAGAGGGCCAAACTTTCTAGTTTTTGACTTTTGGACAATGTTACAAGCTCAGACCCCAATCTGAGTGTTCAAAAATTTATCCTGAAGTCATGTTGAGCTAATGAAGCTGATCGTTAGCTGTTTCTTGGAAACCTTTCCATGCTAGATGCTTCTTTCTTAGACACTTATTAGATGCGACCGGATACTTTTGCATCATCTTTCTTCTAACACTAGACTTGTCATCAGCGATAGTGGCCAACATCTGATTTTTCCTTTCATTAATAGTCTTGCATGGTGATTTTCAATCCACCCTTAATCACTGGGCTCCTAAAAATGTGTATCTTGCCAGTCTCTGTAGAAACTGTACATAATTACATGATTCAGTGATAGTGATGTCTGATAGTGATGTGCTGCCATTCGTAGCAACTTTTTATAGACCAGACTTTTGCATTCCAGAGAAAGAAATTCATTGGCCCACCAGAGGATAGGAAATCCGGCACCAAGATGCCCCTCTTCACGTTACAAGTTGAAAATCGTGTTGTATGGCACTTTGTTTAATCAGCCATTCAGCACATTCACCACAACTTTTCCATTTGCTGAATAATATCTAGTGGTGGTCTCTAAGTCTCCAGTAGAAACACAGTGTGCTGCTGGAACACAGGAATTTACTGGAAGTGGGAATTACTAAGTTTAAATAAACTAGTACTGTTTTAAAATCTAAGTTTTTAGCACAACGGTTACTGAACACGTTGGAAATTAAAGTTTCATTTACACCACTGTTCCTTTTTATGGTACTCAGGGGAGTGCATTGAAAAATGTTTAGTCTGAATTGATGTTTAAGCTTTTACTTATGTAAAGACGTGTGGGTGGGAAGGAATTCAGTCCTCCTTAAAGTAGTGCCAGGAGCCAAAATTATGTGTGGGCAGGTGCTGTGCAAGGTTTCCTCTGCAGATCTGTAAATAGACTTGCATATTTGCTCAGGCTGAATTTTATATCATTTTTATCATTCATCAGTCTGTGAACAAAGATAATAAAATTCATTTTATTTAGAGACATGCTGTTAATATTTAAAATGAAATCTCCAGTTATTAAAATGCATTGAGGCCCAGAGTGTATTCCTGGACTCAATGGGCTTTGGACCAGGTGTTTAAGTCAAAAAGTTGGACTTTACATACACTGGAATAAAGCACAAATCACATGATCTCATAGAAATTATTTTTTTCTGTTTACGCTCCCTTGCCTGTATCTGGTATATCAGACTTTGTGTCAGACTTGGATGGAACCAGTCCTCCCTTGCTTTAGTCCATGCAGACAGCTCCTTCAGACAACCAGCAAAGTAAAAGCTACAGGTGAAGGATGTGAGCGTGTGAGGGATCTCAGAAGTCAACTCCACTCACTTACTAATGAAAATATGTACTTGCTGGCACGAATACAGGGCTAGCAGCTAATGAAGCTTTGCCTGAGATAGCAGCAGAGGAGATCATTGTGTGAAACAGAGTTGAGTTGGTTCTCCATTCTTGAGTCTTCTTAGCTGTGTATTTTTACCTGCTTTCTTACTCTCCAAATCAGCACCTAATTTTATGATGCATCTTTGCACTGGAAGGACAGGCAAGAGGTAGCGCTAGATGGGGGGTCAGAGAAATAGCAGAGCTCTGTGAATACCCCCTGGGGGTTTAATACCTGGGATCCCGTCACTGCACTACCGCTAAGTTACCTTGAAGTACTGAGGCAACAGAACGGTATCCAGTACATCCTGCTGCTCTGATGCATCAGAAGAATATTGGCATAAATTATCCACAGCATGACAGTGACAGAACACTCCTAGCCTCCAAGCATTTGGTTCCATATTACATCTGACAATCAGTGATTTCAGTGCACTGTGCCATCCAAGAAAATCAAATATGAACAGCACGCTTAGCTCTTTTGCATGATTTTCACAGTAAAATTGGCTATACGTTTTGTTTGTCCTGGAATAACGACAATTTAATAATTATTTAACCACAACAAGTGTCCAGCAATACGCCAGAACCCCTGTAGATATAAATCAAAAGGATAGGTCATCTTCTTCCAACCCTTTCTTGCAACACACACAGTCACACTGTAGGAGTGTTTCATATAAATGAGTTTCCTATTGTGGAGATGTGACTTGACAAACTCTTTATCTGGCTGCCTGTCTGATATTAGCTCAGATATTTATTAAAAAATGCTGAAAGGAGACAGTGTCCTTGAAACAGAAAAAAATGATCTGAAATCAAAAGGATTTTTAAGGTGATCTTTTCAAATGTGCATTTAGGTTTGCGGTAAACAAAAGGAAGAGGTACTTTGGTAAATCTATCTTAAATCACGCTCTTCCCAGATTCCATTTTCTCAGCATTGTGTCTAATAAAGGCTTAGTTTTGTTTCTGAAGTATAAATTTGTCCTCTTGAACTAGTTCCCATATCAGTGTCTCTCATTTGCTCTAGTTTCATGATCTTGTTTGACCAGAAGTCACCAGAAGAGGGGTCCCCTGGGCATGGTTTAGATGTGGAAGAGTTTCCATGTTTGTGTATATGACTTCTATCAAGGACAGCTATTAAATTACTAATGCCACAGATTTGATAGGGTATTGTCCCACTTCTTTTTCCTAACATTCACATTTGTGTTCTCAGGTTTTTGATTTCTTTCTGTGCTGTACTTGTTCATTAAAGCACGTTGTCTATGCTGACAGAATCATAGAATCACTAAGGTTGGGGAAAACCACTAAGGTCATCTAGTTCAACCATCACCCATCACCCCATGCCCACTAAACCATGTATCTCAGTGTCACATCTACATGTTTCTTCCCTGGGCAGCCTGTTCCAATGCCTCACCACTCTTTCAGAG